CGACACACCCCTCGAACCAAACGATAAAATTGCTATGGACTTATTAGGCCCACTGAAAAAGATGAAGAAAGGCAATCAGTACATTCTATCCATACATGACGAGCTGACAAAATACTTAATACTCGTGCCACTAAAAACTCAGCAAACGGAAACAATTTGGAACGCACTCTGAATCATTACATTTACATCTTTTCTGCTCCAAAAAAAATATTAACTGACCGCGGACAGAATTTTATATCTAGTTTAATGCAACAGTACGAAGACGCGTTCAAAATCAAACATATCAAAACGACATCCTTGCACCCACAAAGTAACGGATCTTTAGAACGGACACACGCAGTAGTAACAGACATGTTAAAATCGATACAGCGAAATTCGGATGAAGAATGGGACGATCAACTTAACTTTGTATGCCTTGCATATAACACAATGATACACGACTCCACTGGTTACACGCCATTCGAACTCACATTCGGATACCAAGCCAATCTTCCCTCCACAATATCCAAGAATCCCCAACGCACATACGCAGACGAAGTCACGTTCCGCAAAAAGGAATGGGATTCTAGACTCCGACACGCTCGCGAAACATTGATCAAAAGTAAACAGCGATATCAGCGCGATCAAAAACGTAAAATTATAAAACCTCAATCAGTTTTCAAAGAAGGAGACTCCGTTTTAATACATAACGATCATAAAAGGCATAAACTTGATGTGGAATGGTTAGGACCATACACGATTGATAAAGTATGTACTCCATACTATCTGATTCAAGACAAAAAGATACACGGTAATCGTTTAAAACCTTACTTTCTAGGTCGACGCTCCTCTTTGCCGGAATGGTATCCGCGCAAATAAATATTACGCCATTAGAAGGAAACTCTGCATTCGTAGAAAACATAGGAAAAGGATATTCATACAGAGATACTGCCAATAGTAGGATTAGACACTAGCGACATATACGAACAGATAAGCGCAATAGAATCATATAAATTAACAATAGACTCACGTGCAATCAGCAAACAATACGTTGAAGAATTAGGCGGATTACAAAATCGTATCAATAACCTAAAACAACTTGCAAAACACTTGAAAGCGTTAACACATACCCGAAGCACACGAGGTTTACTCAATATCATAGGTTCCGTATCGAAAAGCACACGAGGTTTACTCAACATCATAGGTTCCGTATCGAAAAGTCTGTTCGGAACTCTCGACGATGATGATCTTACGCTCATAAACAAGAATATGGACAAACTATTCGATGATAATAATAAAATCAAGACCATAATAGCTAATCAAACAGTACTTGTTAGAAAAATTGTAAGCTCAGAAAACCTAAACCACTTAGAGAAATCATATAGTGATATATTAA